TATTAAAAAGCTGGAGGTCATGAAATTCCAGACCATTGCAATCCTTGGGAAGAGTAAGAAGACTCCATTTCTTCCAGTGAATTCCTCTAGCTTGATCAGAGTTAGATTGCCACCAAAATTGAGCACAGAGGGAAGCAATTTCCTTGCAGACAGAAACAGGCAAAGTGAAGCAGGACATAGAGTAAACAGGGAGGGCTTGGATGACAGCTTTTAAAAGCACTTCTTTCCCTGCAGAACTCAGAAATTTTGTCTTCCAGCTGGTCAGTTTATTCTTCACAGAGATCAGTAAATAATCAAACACCTCCCTTTTGGATTTACCAATCCCTAGAGGGAGCCCAAGGTATCTGGTAGATCTGTGGGCTGTGATACCATTTAAGGATCTACAAATAGCAGACTGAAGATTTGGAGGAGTATTCTTACTAAAAAAGATAGCAGATTTATGAAGGTTCACAGCCTGACCTGAAAAGAGTCTATACTGCTCCAGAATATTCATAAGAACTCCAGCTTGATCCACACCAGCTTTACAAAAAAAGAGAGAGTCATCAGCAAATAAAATATGCGAGAGCAAAGGGCCATTCCTAGACAGCTTCAATCCTCGAAGACTACCAGAATCAATGGCTTTAACAATAAGCACTGAAAGCAACTCTGCCACGATGATAAACAAATAGGGGGACAAAGGGTCCCCCTGTCTTATACCACGAGAAGGGGAGACAAATCCAGAAGTAGAACCATTAACCTTGAAAGAGAAAGATGTAGAAGAAATGCATGCCATTATAAGCTTGACAAAGTCTAGATAAAAACCCATTTGAATCATGATTCTTTTCAGACAATCCCATTCAACACGATCGAAAGCTTTAATCAAATCCAATTTCAAAGCCATAAAGCAATTAGGACCTGAAGAGTGTCTGTTAAGGTAATGGAAGACCTCCTGAGCTATGATAACATTGTCAGTAATATGCCTGCCCTCAATGAAAGCAGCCTGATGCTCACTAATGCAAAATTTGAGACAACTTTTAAGCCTTTGGGCCAGCAACTTTGAGATAATTTTGTAGATCACACTACAAAGACTGATGGGTCTGAATTGACTCAAAGACTGAGGGCAATCACATTTGGGAATTAAAGACACGATCGTGTGATTCCAGTATTTAAGGATCATACCAGATTGGAAAAAGCTTGTGACTGCCCTCAACACATCTAGCTTAATCAGGTCCCAGAAGTGTTAATAGAATCTAGCAGTCATGCCATCCTCCCCTGGAGACTTGTCAGGCTCAAGACTGAATAAAGCACCTCTAACTTCTGCCTCATCCACTTGTTTGAGAAGAGATTGATTCATATCATCAGTTATACAAGGAGTAATGAGAGGGAGTAAAGTGTCACCTCCCCAGCTGCCCTCAGTAGAAAATAGGCCTCTGTAAAACTTAGATATATGAGTTTCAATTTCCTTCTGAGTTGAAAACACAGTACCCTGAGAGGAGATTAATCTTGTAATGGCGTTGAGCTTTCTTCTTTGAAGGGTATATGCATGAAAAAAACGGGTGTTAGCATCTCCTTCCCTTAGCCATTTGTGCTTAGCCTTTTGTTGCCAGTAGAGCTCCTCCTGGAAATGAGCTTTATTCAACTCTATCCTAGTATTGATCCATTCTTCCCACTTGTCTCCAGTTTTAACTTCATTCAGAGTCTCCAGTTTTTTTGTGAGCTCTGCCATTTGTTGTTGGTGTTGAGATTGAAATGTGGAACTCCATAGGAGCAGAGCTATCCTGGCATTTTTAATTTTCTCCTTGATTTGGAAGAAAGGAGTTCCTTCCACAAAAATATGCCAAGCTTTTGTCACCACCTCAGAAAAGCCCTCTTTAAGTAACCATCTTTTATCAAAATGGAAAGGAGATTTCCTTCTTTTTCTTTTAAGCCCCATATCTAGAAGTAGAACTGAGTGGTCTGAAGAACTTCGGATGACATTGTGCACAGTTGCACTAGGGAAAAGTTGAGTCCAGTCGAACGAGCCAAAAGCTCTGTCCAGCTTCTCTTCCACCAAGTGAGGAACTGCTCGGTTGTTGCACCAAGTAAACGGATATCCTTCAAATTTAATCTCTGACATCTTCATGGCATTGATGAAATTCCGGAAGCTAAGGAAGCTATTATCATTTCTGGGGAGGCCTCCTGCCTTTTCACTAGCAGAAATAATATCATTCCAATCCCCCAGAGAGAACCAAGAGTGACCCCAAGACTGCTTGTCAATAATTAACTCCTCCCATTGGTTCTCTCTAATTACTCTGCAAGGGTTGCAATAAACAAAAACTCCCCATTGAGGGGCATCAGAGCTAATCTGAAAGAGAACAGCTATATAGAAATCCCTACATTTGATATTATGAATAATAACATTAGAATCCCAACAAAAGACTAATCCACCACTAAGACCCACAGGATCAACCAAAGCTACTCTATTATCAAAACCCAACTTATTACAAACAGATTTAACAAATGCTTTTGGTTTTTTTGTTTCAAACAAGAACAGAAAATTTGGGTGGTGAGTTCTAAGCAACTCTCTGATTTGGGAAATTGTAGAGGGCCCACCCAGCCCTCTACATTCCACACCATAGCTAACATTTATCAGTTTGGTGCCACTCAAGGCTGGCAGCCCCCACCATGTCAGACTTGGACTTGACTTTTTTTTATTGCACCTGAGAAATTGAAGGAGCATCAGTTGATGGATCTTCTGTGATACTATCCTCTCTAGTTCTTTTTCCCTTCCATAAATTATCATAATGAGTTATAGGCTCAGAAGTTATTGGTTCAGAAGCTCTCTGTAATATGCCCTTGCTATTACCCATTCTTTTCCATGTATTAAGAGGAGGGATATAAGGAGCCATTTGCAATTCCTGCAGAGGAGCTGATGCTACCATAGATGCAACTTTCTCTACTTCCATACCTATAGATTCAACAATTTGGAGGTTGTTCTCTAAATCGTCAGCCTCCTTTTGCAGGGGTTGAGAAGCTGAGATGAGAGAGGTAGCTACAACTGATTTAGCTGGAGAGATGGGGGTATTATGGCTTTGAATAATCTGATTACTGCTAGAAGGGATGTTTGTTGAGATATCTTGAGTTGCAGAGGTATTTTCAGCCATAGAAGGAGACTCTCTTGGAGGAGAGGGTCCTGTATCCGAGAGGTTTCCAGCTGACCACCTTTGACCATCAGCTGCCTTCAACCAGTCACCATATTGTCCCTCTTTCATAGAACTGTTAGCAACATCCTCCATTTTTCTAGCACAATTGCGATCTAAATGGCCTATCTTCCCACAGTAGTGGCAGAGATTCAACAGCTTTTCATATTTGAACATAACATTAGCTATTTGGTCCCCCAATCGGATGTGCAGAACTCTGGGAATGGGCTCGTCAATATCCAAATTAACCAGTAACCGTAGCAGCTTCCCTCCATGATTGCCAATAGACGCCACTACAACATTCTTGAGGCTCTTAAAAGCTCGACCAATCTTGAAGCCCACCTCCGAGCTAACCCAATTTAAGGGAATATTATGAATTTGCACCCATAGGGTTAGCTCTCTGAAACTTTGATGCTTACTGGAGATACCATTAAACCATTCCCTAAGGATCAGATATTAGTTTTCGAAACTCCAATTATTACCAGCAGAGACTCGCTTTTTGTCCTCAACATCTTGAAATACGAATTGGAAATAGTTTGGACTGAGCTCCTTGACCTCCATGGGTTGATTTAGCTTCCATATATGAGACATAGCACGTCTAATTCCAATCCAGCTAGCTGGACGATCCCCAATTACTTTTCCAAATAGACTCCTCTGACATTCATCATCGCTGAGTTTAATATCATCTTGCGCGATATCGACTACTTTCGCTTCCCAATCAGACAGGGAGAAGGCCTGTAATCGGTCTGATAACTCATCACCATGGTTATTACGAGTGTCATCAGCCATTATCAGAAACCCTAAGGACAGATTAGGGGAAAACGAAAAAGAAAAGGGGAGACTAGAAACTTAGATTATTAATTGGAACGTTTATGAGTAAATCACTGCAACGAGAAACACAACAACGAAGATCGGAAATTGAATCGCTCTCATGGGAGAGAATTGAGTCGCTCTCATGGGAGAGAATTGTGTTGTTGTATAAATTGCCTTCAATT